CACTATGGCTGAATACATTTATGAAAAGCTAAAACTGACACAGACAAAATACATTGTAAACACAGCCTATTTAGGCAGGCGCTAAACCGGTGTAAACTATTATGCAAAGATGAACAATATACCGTCATTAGTATTTTTGCGCAAGTGCAGGGCCGTTGCGAAGGGATATGGATTGGGGGGGTGTCGAAGGTCAAATTGCCGAGTGACGCTAGTTGAATTTGCCGAGTTTTTCAAAATTTTGTAAAGGTTAGATATAGGTAATGAGAATCATATTGGTGTGCTAGTAACTGAGGGACACCAATATGGCTCTTGTTTTGAAATGGATGCCTGTTCGTGGGTTGTTGCTAAAAAGGAATCGGGTCACTTTATATATAAAATATGACATTCTAAGAACAAACAAATATAAGGTCACGAAATCGAGACACACAATAACACAATTGCAATAACTGCAACCACAGCAGTCAATGATGAGCACTATTTTATTTTCGTATTTCAGATAGGAGTATTATTTTAATTTATTTATATTAAACATATAAAGCTGAAAAAAATTTAAATTTAACATAATTTATACTGTGTTTTCATAAGTCCTAAATCGAGACTGAATCTATGTGCACACGGGTCACGTTTTTGAGCGTTTTTGCAGTGCCGTTTTCAAATTTAGCGTTTAGGCTCCTTGTTCTCATTGATCGTTTTTCTCGCAACATTTTCTGACAAAGCACTAGTTTTTTATTGTCTTCGTTTCCAAATTCAAACACGGAATTTCATTTTCGCCTTCTACTTTTCTGTTTACACAATAACAAAGTGCATAAATGACCAAACGTTTCAAACATAGTGATCGAATCTTTGGCACCGTTTTCACTATTTGAAACGTTTTTGCTTCCTGACGTCGCTTTCATACGTTGAAAATGGTACTTTCAGTTTCAGAAATTAACGCATTACAACCAAAAACCGAAAAACGCTCGGAAAGCGACGGAACGGTACCGTGTGCATATAGTCTGAGTAACGAGTGTCTTAGACTGTGGTGCAGACGCGCATCTCCGCAAAGTCAGAAAAGTTATCCAAGTATTACCCTGGTTCCAGAGGTTTAATTTTATTATTTTCATTGCGAAGGGGAGGAAAAATAAACCTCTGGTTGAAAGCGGCCGAATTGATTCATTGAGCAGCGCCAATCAGTTTGAATTAGGGTCAGATCCTGAATCTGTCTCCTGATTGGATGATCGTATTAAAGCTCTCTGATTGGTTATAGATGTTCTATTTGAACCAATCAGAGGACTTTAAGTCTTTAATACAATCATCCAATCAGGAGACATAGTCAGGATCTGAACCTAATTCAAACTGATTGGCGCGGCTCAATGAATCAATTGCCGCTTTCAACCAGAGGTTTATTTTTCCTCTCCTCTTCGCAATGAAAATAATAAGAATAAACCTCTGGAACCAGGGTATCCAAGTATCTGCATGTGATCGATTGCATTGATATTTTGTTTCAATATTTTCATGACAATTTGATGAATTTGACCTTTTTTATCCCCAGGCGCCGAATAGACAATTTATATTTTTTGTATTTTGAGCAGTCTTAAAACTCTTAGTGCCAGATAGTGTTAACTTGGCTTTTGTACAACCCGATTTTCCAAGAGTTTAAATTTTATGCGTCAGAAAGCGAGTAAAACGGATATGATCATATGCAACCGATCGACGATACCGATCGCTGTATGCGGTATGTCTTTCAAAACTGTAGGCTGATCAGAGTTAACATTAATTTCGCTAAAGAACTAAAGAAGACAAGTCCGTTCTTATGGCCTGGCTCGTCTTTCTCTTGGTCTTCTTCTCATATGCCTATGACGACTTAAAATATTCTCTTTGGCTTTGACTGCGCTTTGCAGTCTCAAACGGATTAGCTGGTACGTCTTTATGTGCTACTCGCACTCGGTTTCCCTTATGGCAAGTTTGCTCGTGCCTCTAATTACGGTAATCGTCGGGCCGTATGTTAGATAACTTTTATGGTTAATACGTTTTCCCTCGTGAAATAAATAATGAAGTTTCTATAGTCGTCAAAATTCGAATTACATTCAAGACACTAAATTTTAGTCTTTTTCTTTTGGGTTTTGAACCGCGCATAATTGATAAAGAGCCATCGCTATAAGAGCAGTCGAGCGAAGAACATGCCCGGAAACGTGGGTTTCACATTTCAGCCTCCCGTCGATTTTCAACAAATAAAAGACTAATAGTATTACTAGAAAATAGAAATACATTTAAATGGTTTTGACATAAGGCCACACAAACCATTATTTTAAATCCAAATTTTATCGCTTTATTTATCGCCTTCGTTCTTAACTTTTACAATTTGCTGAATGCCGATTTCGCAATTTGCCGAACAGTAACGAAGCAATTTGCCGACTGGGGCCGACTTGCGAAAATTATTGGGGGGGTGAAGCACCCCCCCACACCCCCCCGCTCGCGACGGCCCTGCAAAGAGAGCTAAATATATACTTTATCAACATTGCCACCAGAAGGCAGGTTTCATTGGATAATTCTGTGAGGTTATGAAAAAATATTTCATAATATAATCTTAATCTGATACTGCATAGAGAAATGAAAATTTCATCACATAATTCTAAGCAATAATAATAAAAAGTGAATTAAGTGAATGTGCTATATATACAATCATACAGAGTCTGTAGTCACTGAGAGATGTTTCTTTGAAAATATTTGGGTAGTAAAAATCAGACGTATACTGTAAATTTTAAGGATTTAAATCAATTCCAAAGGTGTAATACTGTGATCAAAAACGGTAGCAGGATAACACAGTTTGTCTTTTAAGACAACCCCATACAATCTTGATTTTTGTTAGTTATCTGTTTTAGTCAGTGCAGTAGATGAGAATTTTTACATGGCCGTACGGCAGTACTTCACTACCTCCCCTTGCGATAGTAACTCTGACACTGCAGAAAGAAATGAAAAATTCATTGTCTCGAGCGCAATTCGAACTTGCACCTTCAAGTTTCTAGGAAGCCTGCAAGGTTATATTACAGAATCATCCTCAGAGAAACATCAAGAGAAAATTTACAACATGATTTCTAGCACTGCTGAAGCCAACAAAAGTTGGCTCGACAGGAGTTGAACTCGCACCTTGGCGACTCGGCCTGCCACTTTACCTATTGAGATATTGAGCTCAAATCCCGCTCAGTGAACTTTTACAGTGGACTTCGACAGCGTAACAAATCATGTTCAAAATTTTCTCTGATTGAGCAGAATGCGTATTTGGCAAAGTCCGATTTTGGTATACATAAGTTTGAAGGGAAAAAGTACGAGTTCTTTCCAATTAACGTTTTGACCTCTTGTCTGGATCAGGGAAAGCTCATTGCGAAAGATGCTCGCTCGAAATAACCTCAGCTAGGTTCTCATATGTGATCTGAGATGACGATGAATAATTTGTTGTCTCGACTCTCAAAATATATTTCATCTCAAACTTTCTAATCTTTTCCCGATATAATCACATTCAGATATAATCAAACATTATAACGGATTAATCTCAGATATAATTTCTGATATAATCAAACTCAGATAAGTTAGAGTTATAAACCCGAATTGAAATTCGAATTTGAAGTGCACGAAATATTTTGATGAATCAATCTCAAAATGTAAATTTGGCATAGTTGTCGCACATTATGAAAAATTCAAAGATATTTACTGATAAGCAACTGGAAATGACGTCATTTGCTCTGGATGACGCCATTCTATAGAAAACACACCTTTTAGTCTTTAGGTCTATAACAGTATTGTGGGAAAAAATGGACAGTTTTAGATTTCCCTGACTACAAACACAACGTAAACCAAAAAACTATTGAAGAAATACTTATTTGGGTTAAGTTAAGTTTTCCAGATAGGCCTATAGGCATTTTTCACAACTGCTCCTGGTTAGGTGTAATAAACGTATAAAATTCACGCTTGAAATTCCCATATACAAAACCCTTCCGCAATTATTTATATCAAGTGTAGACCCCCAAAATGCCGATAATTTTTCGTGGTTAAATTGCACGGTCCTTACGTACTTCAATTTAAACAGACGAATTAAATGATTAAACGAATTAAATTATTAAATTTAACTGGGAGAATTACGCGTTAACTGAAAAAGTTTTGTTTTAGCTCGTTTGCCTGTCAGTCTCAATTTCTAGAGATAAATTCTGGACCATATCACCATCATTAGCAAACAAGAGGCAACAAACTAAACAAAGGGCTAGACATTTTGTTACTCTCACTGACAACTAATTTTTTTTAAACAATTACTCAAATATAAAACCTAATAATTTAGTTAGGTTTTGAATTTGTGCCAGCGCATTTTAAAATTTTAACAATATTTTAAATATTTTAGTGCTAACAGCTCTCAAAACTTAAAATACAATTTCAAATTATGAATTTTGGTCAAAGGCAATAAAAATATTAATGAACCTTGAACACAAGATTACTGTATCAACGTTCTTAGCCACTTTCTTAACTATAACACAAAATGGGGGGAAATTCAGATTAAAAAACAGTCCATAATCTATGCCAGGCTTTTGCCCTCCGTCGAGGCAGAATTGATGCAACAGGAAGGGAGAGGCTTGCAATAAAAATATTCAGTATGCTTTTTTGGCTGAGTCAGCTTTCTGTAGGGTCTCTATATTCTGTGACCTTAGTCAAAAAACACTTGACATCCATTAACCAAGTAAACAATGAAAGAATTAAGTTATAAAATTTTAATGCTTGACATAATCTCAGTCAAAACAAGGGTAAATGTTACCATGGATAAACATATCTTTCAACATAACACTTCTACTGTCCCATTTCTCTGACAGCTTTTTCAATAAATTTCTCATGTCTTGGCTTGTAGCCGTTCACATTTCCACCGTCAGTATAACCCCAAGCTGTGGAAGAAATAAAATATTTGGCAATGTACACAATAAACAATGCTGTAACGTTCTTCATTACAAGTAACAAAATTAATCGCTATTTTTTTAAGGAACTGTAAGAAAAACTAGTTGCATTTTGGCTGAAAATGAAATAAAAATCCATAACTTTTCTGACTAACAGGGCTGCAAATTACTGTCGGACATCTGACAATGTCCGACTAAATTTGGCAAATGTCCGAGCAAAAGTAATTTTGAACAATTGGTCAGATCACAAAAAAAATTGTCACATTATACATTTTTTTGCTGTGACAAAATTCGATTGCAAATTCACTCAATTTGCATTTTGCAATAAAACTTATGAGGCATAATTCTAGCATTTTACTTTAACGTTGCGCCGGAATGGCTATACATACTTGTCTTGTGACTTAGCCTATATATATCTTGTGACATATATGTCCGACAAAATTAGTTTAAACCAAATTCAAGTTATGTCCGACCAAAATTAAAAGTGATCGGACAAATGTCCTGTCAAGTCAAATATTTATTTGCAGCCCTGGACTAATGTTTACGTAATTATGTTACCTTTTTCATTACAATTTCAGGTTAATATATAGTAGTTGCTATTTTGTTTATAGTATCAACTTCTATTATGTTAACCCATTAAGCTGCAAGCTTCCCCATTGACAAGTAAAATCATCTGGTGTTGGACAAGTAAAAAAAATTGGAACGCATTGAGGCTCAATGGGTTAATGTGGTTGATAAACTGATTCATTGTACAATAACTTCAATGGTCGGCTTGCAGTTGGGTTATCCTATTCTATACAGTAATTTCAGGGTTTATACATCTTCATAATTTAAAAAATCCAGGGTTTTCCAGCACTTTTTTCATCCTTTTTCCAGAGGTTTTCCAAGGGCATTTCAAATATAAATGTAAGTGTTTAACCAATAAGAAACGTTCGCAACGGCTAGTACTTCATCTTGCACAGATATTTTTTGGGTTTGTACCAGTTTGAATGAAACGCCATCGCGTGATATGCCCAAGAAATGCTGCGACTATATATAAGGCTGTCTATATATTAGGTGCCGGATGTGTAGGTCTGACTAAATCTTATACATAAATATTTACCATCTCTTTTAAACAGTTGAAATGCTTGCCAGTAGTCATCGATTTCTTTCTTACAATTATCTCGAAAATTCACTTCTTCCCTCTGATAGCAATCTCGTAATCTTTCATGATATATTTTAACTTTCTCAACATGCACAGCTTTGTCTCTAGCCCACTGTCCTTTCGCTTCGTAAAATGCAACTGGATCCATGCAGTCAATTTCTTCGAACAAAGGCGCTCTCTCAGAGTAATAACGTTTAAAGTTTTCCATTGTGACAATCTGAAATATTATTCATTATATGACAAGTGATTATAATATAGCATTTGTAAATTCTGAACGCTGATTGGCTAAAAGCTGTGTTGATATAACTCAATGTCAATACGGAAACTCGGAAAATGTCTTTCTTTATATTTTTTGTGCTATATTATAAAACAAATATAAAACATTTTTTCCATGTTGATATACAGTTATATCAACACGATTGGAAATTGGGAAAACAAGAAATTAATGACCTAATGTATGGTCATTGCTGTTTCAATTGGCAACCACCCCTATCCCCCTCCCCCCTCCTAAGCAAACCTTAGTACAATGCAGCAAATCATATTCCGGGGCTTTCTGAGGCACAAATTTGATTTGCAAAAATGTATTCTGGAAACAAACTGTTATTTCTCAGAAAAAAAACTACAGTGGTTTTCGCAAGAAACTACAGTTTGTTTCGTATTATAAAATATACAGTATGCTTGTACTGGGAGGAAACTAGTTTATAACTAGCATTAGTTTTCACCCTTAGCCTGGAGGGAATTTTTTAAGTCCCAGGGGCCGAAATGGTTATAGAAATGTCCATGCATATAAGCTAACTATATACGTTCCAGCCCTTGTAATTGGACTATTATTGCAGCGACAAAATTGGGAACCTTTTTGGCAAGGCAGATTACGAATGCTGTGCTTAATACCAAATTAAATTGGGTCCAACTTTTATCGGTCCAGTGTCAGCTATAACTTAATTAACTATTTACTTCTGACTGGATACCTTCACCAATATTTCTGAACTGTTCTCCCTAGAGGTCCTGAAGCAAGAGACCCAGAGAAAACGTGTTTGGTAAAGTTGATAATGCAAAGGAACGACTTTTTGCAACAATCAGCAGTGTCAGATAAAATTCATATTGTTTGTGTTATATATGTATAATTTAGTAAATAAGTTTATGTAGATATGGCAAAGCCCAACTGAATATAAATATATTAATTGGTCAGTAAAATAGTATAAAAAATACTGGCAACCGAGTCAAGTTTTAACAAATTATACTCACATGGAAAGTTGATAATTTGAACTTCCAGCCTAAATAAAAAGATAAATTTAAGGTTCTCTCAGAAGTAAGTTGGTAAATCAATCCATAAAATAAAAAAATATTTCAAAAATATTGT